AAATTCAAATACCTAGTTATATATGACTATTCGAGTTGAATACAAAACCAAATATGACTTTACACTTAACTCTAAGGTCACATATGGTTTCTATTTTTCTAATACGTCGGAGAAAGATTGAGTCAATTTGAAGTTAAAAATTGTTTTTAACTTTAGCTTTTAGCGTGCTTTAAAGATAAACTTTAATCCCAAATAGCTTTTTTTTTTTTTTTTTTTTCGCGGAAGCCTCTGTCAATGTGCTATAAACTCAATCTTATATATATATATATATATTTTTTTTTCTTCTGACCCATATATTATTTGTTGTTTGACGTATTCTTCGCACTCTAATGTAAATAATACGAGTATTTGATAAGTGAGAAGCAAAGGCACGAAAAAAAACCTTTTAATGATTTTAGCAAAATCCTAAAGATGAAAATCACACAATATAATTTTAAAGGCATGAAATGTCACATGTTATTTTTTGTGCAAAACATAATACGTGACATTTATTAAAGTGAAAGATTCAAATACAAAGTTAATACAAAAAGTTGCTAGCTGTTTTTATTAAATTAATTAACTTGAACTACAAAATACAATGCAATAACTTGAGGAGATATTATTAGGTGGTATTGCTGAGTCGTAGTACATCTCCCCATATGGTTCTCAATTTGTACTACTAATACACATCATCAACAAACTTAAAATCCTGTCGTTTAGCAGATAACACTACGTTAAAGAATTCCCCTTTTGTTAATCTTTGTGGCTACGTCGTCGCCTCCTTGACATTTGACCACCTCCTTTCCGGTGGCATGGCAATGAAAGTGCAGGAAAATGATACAATAATGATGAATCGAGGCGCTTCCTGGCTGTTTTCCTTAAACTCAAGCAGTGGCTTGGCTTCCACCATCGCAACCGTCAGTCCGTCAGTCAAGCTTTTGGGTGGCGCCGGGCACATAGTGATTAATCTTGTTTTTGGTTTGTAACGACAGAATTAACGGTATCAACTTATGTATATTAGTTGTACACATGGGGAAATTTGAGTGGAAATGTATTATCCCAGGCAGCAATGCTAGCTGGTGGTACTATATCTCAGTATAATTTCTCAGCAAGGCCCGCTGTTAGATTATCTCATGATTGAAAATATAAAGCCCTTGTACTAGAAATGAGTTTTAGCAAATTGAAAATAATTATAAATATAGGAAAATAGTACTAAAAACGTGTGTTAAATTTCTATTTTCTTTTTGCCGTCTAAGAAATTAGTACATTAAGCTTTGAACAGTTCAATGCGGTTGGTTTCTTTTACTTAGTTAAAGCAATTTAAAAAAAATATTATTATTGTTTCCGAAAGTGTTCAAATCTATTACAGTAATTTAAGGGATTGAGGCTTTTCGACCTTGGATGCATGATAGAAACCCAACATCTTATACACTGGCTATGTATTCACTTACTCAATTTTTTTATACTGTTTTGCTACATATATATGGCACTTACTCGAATTTTTCATGATTGAAGGAATATTGTTTTGCTAATAAAAATTTGACTTTTTCTTTAATAGGGTATAATATTTTTATGAATTTTTTAACAAAAATTGGATGGTTAGTAACAGAGATAAACATGATGGCTAAATTTGTCAAATTGAAAACATATGTACTAAAATGGCCAAAGCTATAACACATACCATTTTAACATTTAAGCCTACAATAAAAATTACATTTTGAAACTTCATGATCCATTTTGACGAGGAATATCCTACTAAACTTGTACAATGTTAAATGTATTTAAACCTATATTTTATTGGGGCATTTTGATCACAAAAGAAAATCCCCTACTGTAAAATCAAGTCCAATTTCATTTGATTTGTTAGTATGCACGTTTTGCCTCTTAAAATAAAACTAAAAATATATTTATTTGTTAAATTTGAATTTTAAAATGCCTTAATCTATTTTCCAATAAAAAATATTTTAAAAATCCATATACAACAAATAGGATAAGTTTATCAAGTATAAATAAAAAAACATTGTGAGTGGTAGCTAAAAAAGCTAAAAACCTGTAATGTAGATAATATAATTAATCTGTAACGAAGGTATATAAAGCATATGAGATAGGCTATGAACCAAAAACCTATGTTATAGGTAAACAAAAAAAAGTATTATCTACCTCCAGATATACGCTACTATATAGGAAGCAAATACTTTATACCTATAAAGCATATGTACTCTACTTACTATATAACAAAATTATGTCTACCTCTACCTTTTTGTATTATACATATACGTAGTATGTAGGTATATAAGAAAAAAAATAAAGAAAATGCATTTGCTAATCCTAACGATTTTACTTATATGTTGAAAAGTATGTATAAACAAACAAAAAATTGAGGAAGAAATTAATAGTGAAAGCCTACAATTATATACACACAAACAGAAAATTGAGGAATATATATATATATATATATATATTAATTTTTTTAGGGGTTTTTGAACTTTAATCCCTCAAGAAGATTAAAATTTAAAAAAAAAACCTTGTGTTAGATTAAATATTGATTTTAGTCCCTAATATGCCCTTAATTCAAAATAATTAATGTGCATTTTATTTAATGTCTCCCATTAAATATTTAAATTTATTAATACACAAATTTTAATTTATTTTTTGACCAAAAAAGAGTTTTTTAATTTATTAATTTTATTTAACATTCTTCAAACTTGAAAGACTCAATAAATGTACCTAAATGTTAGTACCGAAATATATTATATTGAACTAATATATTTAAATGTTAGTACCGAAATGTATGTACCTAAATATATGCACTGAAATGTATTAATATTAAATTAATGTACCGAAATGTTAGTACCGAAAATGTATTATATTGAATTAATGTACCTAAATGTTTGTATCGAAATGTATGTACCAAAATGTGTGTACCTAAATGTATGCACCGAAATGTATTATAATGAATTAATATACCTAAATGAAGAAGATAAAGTACATCAAAATATATTGTATAACAAAAATTAGTTTATCTAAATGTTCACAACAAAATATATTACGATGAATGAAATGAAAATAAAAATTATAATGAAATAAAATTAGAAAGAAAAAGATAAATAATTAAAAAATCGAAATATAATTAATAAATGAGGTTATTAATGTATCAAGTGACTAAAAGTAGATTTTGATCTTACTCATGGTTTTAATCAAAAAGTCATCTTTGCCAATGATTAAAATGAAGTTTTCTATTTTTTTTTATATGTGAACAAACAAACAAAAGAAACATAATATGATCAATGCACCTAGCAAAACGTTTCTTAAAAAATGATATAAATACACGTGGATCATGAGACTGTGTAATTCGTGGGACAAAGAAGAATATTTTGTGAAGGAGGAGGATGAGAAGAAAAAAGATGGAAGAAAACGATAATTCTTGGGTACTCCTTATCCTTAGTGAGTCCCAATTTACTCCCCTCTTTATGTGGTCAAATGATATTAGTACACCTGTCACTTGCCATCTCCATAACCAAACAATCTTCTTCCTCCCCTCCTTGCCTAAGTGCAGATTCCATCTCTATTCCATCACTTCTCCGGCAACCACCCTTATCCTTTACTTCTCCGGTGACCCCACCCCAATCCCCCACTTCTCACCACAAAATAAGTTGATAATAGTCTGAAATATCTCGAAAAGACATCATAGATAATGGATACTAGCATACGTGCACCTAATTGGGTCATTAAAATATATGGAAGATGGATTTTGGTGCTCCATTCACCCAATTTGTTATCTTCCTCGCGTACATGCATCCAATTCGCAGTATAAGAGAGGGATTCGGGGTGGGTCACTGGAGAAGAGAACGATTAGGAGTGGGACCGCCGGAGATGAGAGGGATTGGAGGGGGGTCGCCGGTGGGAGGATGGGCTGCTCTGGATCCGTAAGAGATGGGTTGACAGTGAAAAAGGGGCAGTCGGAAGGTCAGAGCGATGGAGGCGTGAATGAATCGGGGTATATGACAGATGTTAGAATACTATTGGGCCATGTAGGTGGTCAGTAAAATTGGGATACTGACTGTTCAGTACCTATTTATTTTCCGGAAGAAAAGGGACAAGATGACATACGAAAAAAGGATGGAAGAAAAAAGAGGATGAGTACCGTACATACTAAACTTTTTTGGTTGTCCAATTAATGATACTTGTGTCTTTTTTTAAAAAAAAGTCCAAGAAAAATAACACATACGCTATCTAAAACAATAAAAAACATGTGTTCAAATATTATTGGGCGAAATATAAAAGAATTCACGCCTAAATATTATCCTTAATTAAGGGGTAAATTTGACAAGAAAATGAAAATAAGATGATGTGGACAATAAGTCAGCGAATCTAACTCAATAATTAGGATTGTACCATATCTGATAATTGCTCTCAAAATCGGAAGAAATTTTTAGTTGTAACGGGAACACAAATGGTACACCATGTGTTTTAATAGGAATGGTGGGAAATTTTTTTTTTTAAGTTATTAAATTTTTAGCCCACATATCTCACTATTTGTGTAATGACACGTGATGTACTATCCTATGTACCGATCACACTGAAAAATCTCTCTAAATTTGGACTTACATCAAGTTCACTCTATTTTTATTTCCAAAAGAGAAGGGCTTCTGGCTTTACTGAGCTAAAGGAAGGTTGTACATAGGATTGCTATTTGCACCAAAAGCTTGATTCTCTGCTAGGATGTTTCTTAGTTATAAATTTTAGTGTGAGTTTTAATTTTAATTTTAATTTTTTGTTTTTTTTTTTTTTTTTTTTGTTAAATGATAGATTTTGTTAGATTAGATGTTTAAATTAGTCACTGAAAAAGTTTGAACATACGCCGTCATGCAAGGCTTAACACATTTCTACCATTGTGGAAAAGGCTACTTGCAGTATGAGATTTAATTAGGTGATGATGAGAATGGAATCGTTTCCGTCTTTATACGAATTGGGTAGGTGACAAGCAAATAATTTATTTAGAGAATGGGTGACTAAATAAATTGGACTTGTGAAAACAATTGTGATTAAAAATGAAGCCGCAGCCGACCTCACAACCTCACAGAAAAGATTAAACAACATACTGGATTCTGTAACTCGTAGATATAAATCCACTGTACAAATGGTTATTCCATATAAAATCGTGAAATAATAACACATTAAAAAAGGAGTTTTGAGATTAAATATTGATAAACCATTCAAAGACGCGACAAAGCAAGAATCTGCTGATCATTGCTGTGGGAATCAACGGCGGTCTGTTGACTTTCGGATAAGATGAATGACTTTGCCTGATCCCTCAAAACGTTTTTGAGAACCTTGCCCATCGGATTCCTGGGCAGCTGGGGCAGAAACTCCACCTTCTTGGGCACCATAAAATGCGGCAAGTTTTTCCGGCAGTAAGCAATGATTTCGGACTCGGTGGCTGCCCCCTCGGCGTTGCTTCGGAGAGCCACAAAAGCACAAGGGCTCTCTCCCCATCGAGGGTGTGGCATTGCCACAACTGCTGCTTCTAACACCTTTGGATGCCCATGTAACATATTTTCAACTTCCACACTGCTAATATTTTCTCCTCCTGATATGATCACGTCTTTCGACCTGTCCTTTATCTCCATGTAGCCGTCCGGGTGTACAACCCCGACGTCTCCAGTCCAGAACCATCCGTTCTGGAACGCCTTCTTGGTCGCCTTGGGATCCTTGAAATACCCTTTCATGATGCTACTCCCACGCAAAACAATCTCCCCCATGGTCTTCCCGTCATGGGGGACACTCTCCATTGTGTCCTTGTTTTTTACATCCACGTCGGCAAGAGTCAATATGCTTATGCCTTGCCTTGCCTTGAGTTTGGCCTGACCATCCTGAGACAGCTTGTTCCACTTGGCCTGCCATTCGCAGACCAAAGCGGGGCCTGTTGCCTCTGTCAGGCCGTACGCGTGGGTTACTTTAAACCCTAGCGGCTCGATCTTCTTGAGGAGAGGGGCCGGAGGAGGGGCTCCGCCAGTGAGTATCTGGACGGGCGTTGAGATCTCGCAGCGCTCGTGGGTTTTGGCCTCGAGGAGGATGTTGAAGATGATGGGGGCGCAGCACATGTGCGTCACCTTGTGGAGGTGAATGTTGCGGTAGATGTCGTAGGCAGTGGTGTTACGGAGGCAGACGTTGGTGCCGCCGCGTGCTGCGACGCCCCACGTGAAGGTCCAGCCGTTGCAATGAAACATGGGGAGGGTCCACAAATAAACAGGCTCGCCCCCCATTTCCCAGCCCAAAATTAGGCTCAGGGTGCTCAAGAATGCACCTCTGTGGCTGTACACAACGCCTTTGGGCTCCGATGTCGTTCCGGAGGTGTAATTCAAAGCGACGGGGTCCCATTCGTCATCGACCGGAACGGAGACAAATCCGGGATTGCCCCTTTTGATGAGTTGCTCGTACTCCAACTCGCCGAGTCGAATGCCAGTGGGGGAGTCGATATCGTCGATCACGATGACCAACGGCATGGATGTGCCGGCAGTTCCGGTGGTGAGAATCCTCAGGATGTCACGTGCCAGGGGGACAAATTGGTAGTCGACAAAGAAGACTTTGGCTCCTGAGTGCCGGAGAATGGAGGCTATGGTTTTGGCGTCCAGGCGGGTATTGATGGTGTTGAGAACGGCCCCGGCCATGGGCACTCCGAAATGCATTTCGTACATTGCCGGAATGTTAGGAGCCAATACTGAAACCTGCCGCAGAAAAGCAAAGCACCAAAAATTAATCTTACTGTTTAATATCAATCAACCAATATTGGAGAAAAGAAATTAATTAAAACTCTTGCGATAATGCATTATAAGTAAATGTTTTTAACTACTTTTGAGTGTGTATCGTTAATTGCGAATAAACGAGACTAACCACATCGTGTTTGACGATGTTGAGGGAAACGAGGGAGGAAGCGAGACGGCAGCAACGGTCGTAGGTTTGGGCCCAAGTGAAGCGAGTGCCTTCATGGATGATTGAGGTACGGTCGGCATAAAAGGCAGCAGCTCTCTTGAGAAAGGTTGTGGGAGAGAGAGCTGCGTAATTGGCATCACATTTCGGAAGCATATTCATCGATTCAAAGGCCATTTTTCGGTCGATTTTTGGGTAATAGTAAGCTGCTTAATTTGGTTAATGTGAGACAGAGAGAGAGAGAGAGAGAGAGAGATGGGATTGTTGAAACTGTCTGTGAAGGACGTAAGTGAGAGGGGGATGTATGGAGCAATATATAGTGAATTGTCAGGGTGGGAAGGGTCCACGATACTTGCCGTGGGAATGGTGGCAGCGAATCAGGATGCTTGCGTGGAAATTACTAAGTTATTACAACTAGACTTCATTAGTTTGAATACAAGAAATTCATTGACCTCTTCTTTTTTATTTGTCTTTTGAATTTCCAGGAACTAAAAACTAATGGCTTTCCACACTATCTATTACTTCATCGGCTGCTTGACTTGTCCGCTACGATCGGTATTCAATTATGCAAACAGTTGCCAGGTTGCGTGGTGACATTTTTTGTTAACTTTTATTTCTGATGCATGTACTTTCTCTCTCTTACAAAAAAAATTATAATATAAAATAGAAAACGAATGAGGAAAACGCTGCATACCACTTCAACTAGTACTATATCGGCAATTTGCTCCCTTAACAATTTTTCTTGTCAATCTATTCGTTAATTTAGCAGGAAACAATTGGCGTAGTATGATAGGCACGTCGCATGTGACACACTTTCAAGGACAAAATCATCTTTCACCTCTTTCATAAGAGAACATTGAAGAGTAACATCTATTTGCGACCACTTTAGAGAGTTGAAGAGCCAAATATTAATGAGCCCCCAATTAGTGAAACTTCATTTGCTCAATACTGATTCATATGTCAATTTTTATACACTGGATAAAATTGGTTTAAATATAACTTTAGTGTTGTGGCCTATATTTAACTGACAGGGAAAGGGGCGTGGGCGGCACAGAGAGAAAATATAAAGAGAGATGTGTTTGTAGGGTTGTGTAGAGGATGTTATTATTCCTCCTACGCAATGCCTTTATTTAGAATAATAAGAGAGAAGAAATCCTTCTCCTCCAAGGAATACAAGTCCTAATGGGGAAGAATAACTAGAATCAAATCTAATCTGGGATTTACACAATCACACTTAAACAAGAAATTTATAACACTCCCCCTTGAGTGTGCAAATACTCAAGTAGATTCGGCATTGTGTAGAGGTTGAGGAAGTGGAAGTCTACTCGTCGGAACTGATTATGGGAACGCGTTATTCTCAATAAGGTAGGAACTTGCATAAGGAAGTAAGTCTCACAGAAAACCCTATGGTTATGGTAAAACCCCGAGTAAGGACAAAACCCATAGTCTAAGGAAAAATGTGTGAGTAATACAAAGTCAAATGAAACATCTACGGGATGTCATCATGGATACAATCAACCCAAGGTGGGTGCCTCATCAAAACCTCGTTAGACAGCAAAATCCCAATGGGAAAAATGCTCCTAATCATAAAGAAAAAGAGGACATTAAGATGAAGCAAGTATACTTCAGGATATTCTTCCTGAGTTTGACACAATTCCAAACAGAACTAGCAATGTTACAACTCAAAAAATTTAAGCATATCAATTCCTTGAACAAGCTTCTGAAACGTCGCCTTCGATGGTGATTTAGTGAAGAGGTTGGCCAAATTGTCTTGTGAACGGATTTGCATGACTTCAATCTTCTGATGCTCTTGTTGTTGATATGAGAAAAAGAATTTCAGCGCAGTGTGTTTGGTGTTGTCTCATTTGATATAACCATTCTTGAGTTGTTCGATGCATGTTGTGTTGTCTTTATAGATCGTCGTCGAGACATCAACGACGGGGTAAACGTCGCAGGAGCTTTGAATATGGCACACAACTGTTCTTAACTAAAAGCATTCTCGAGTTGGTTCGTGTAAGGCGAGAATTTCAGCATGGTTAGACGAAGTGGCAACTAAGGTCTGTTTAGTTAACCTCCAAGAGATTGCGGCACCTTGTGTGGATCAGATAAGTATCTTGCGTCGGCATAACCAACAAGGCGATAATCGACACAAGATAAGGGGGTGCGGCATCACTCGAGGATCCGTAGGGATAGAACAAGCCCAGATCCGTAGTACCTTTAAGGTAGCGAAAGATGTCTTTAACACCAGTCCAGTGTCTGCGTGTTGGGACATTATTGTATCTTGCTAAAAGATTAACAGCGAAGGAGATGTCGGGTAAAGAATTTCAAATGGTAAGTTTATAAATAATAAATGTGCTATAATTACTTAAATATGGTAAGTTTTAAAAATAAGGACTTATACTAGATTTTGAAAACCATTCAGGTTAAAATTTAAAAACAATCTTATTAAAGCCCTAAAATCTAAAAGCCAATATTAAGCCAAATTGGCTTGAAAAGAGCCCACTACAAGCCATCCCAAAAACCTCAATAGACAGAGCAATACCACAACAATGAAGACGACCGCCGTCGCACGACCTCTTTGAGCCTTGGGTTTTCTGTCAACAAGAAGGGACAATAACATAACTTAAAGTAATTTTCAACCTGATAACTTTATGGCACGGAGCTCCAAGGGCAGGTTTGCTGAAACATTTACTCCGGACCACGCATATACCATCGACGAGAACATAAGTCTGTAAAGGGACGTAGATGTTGTCAGGCTAACATTCGACTAAAATAGTTTTCAACCACTTTTGGGACGAGCATTGTGATCGATATGTGTTGACCTGAGAAAACAATAGAGAAGTAGCTTACAAGTTGTGCTTACGTGTTCAACCCACTGAATGATAGGGAGGTGGTAGAATTAATAGTCCAAGACTTTTAGTCTCACATAGTGCCTAAATAAATGGGCTGATTACCCCCCATAAGCAGTGGCGGAGCCAGGATTTCGGGTTAGGAGGGGCCTCTCACAAATATTAAAAAAAAATTAAATCGATAGTAGTTACAAAACTGTTAACCAAAACATCATAGTATGTATATGAAAAGTAACCAAAATTCAAAATAACATAGCATTGATAATATTACATATTCCCAATAATTAAAATAATTGTCCTCGACGAGTTTTCATATTTTGAAACCGTTGCATGATAGCCTCGTCCTCTATACTATTAAAAATATCATTTTCAATATAAGCAACCAAACAATCATTCATCCACAAATCACCCATTCGATTGCGTAAGGTGTTCTTAACAATGTTCATAGCAGAAAAGACTCGCTCTACACTTGCTGTTGCAACCGGTAAGATGAGTGCCAGTGTCAAAAGCAAGTACACTAACAGGTAAGTATGATCTTTCTTGGTTCCAACCATCTTTTGTGCAAGATCACTAATTCCTTTCAAATCTGCAAACTCACTATTAGAGGTCATTTCCCAAATATAATTCTCAAGCTGTTCTTTGAGTAACTCAAGATCGTGCTCTGAAAAATCACTTGGATAAAATTGGGCAAGACGCATCAATTTTTCTTTGTCAAAGGCAGAGAAAGAATTACTTGGACTTAAACATGCCACACAAAGAAGTAGTTCAGTATTCTTCTCAGTAAATCGATCATTTAACTCAGTGAGTTGTTTATCTATGACATCGGTGAATAAATCAACCCGATAATGGTGCACGTTTGTGATGGGATGAGCTTTTCGGTTTGGTCGCTCTCCACTCGTAAAAATATCATCCATGCTAGGAATTTTAATACGATTCTTGTCACAAAAGGATGAAACTTCATCAAATAAGGATTCCCAACCACTTTCTCGCATCCTTTGCAATCTTCCTTTGCATATATTGACCAAGTTCATTGCATTCACAATATCTTGATCCTTCTTTTGCAATGCCTGCGATAAATCGTTTGTGATCCCCAAAACCTTTTTCATCAAGTGTAGACCAAAAATAAAGTTGAAAGATTGAATAAAAGTCAATAGAACCTTTGCTTCAAATTTTTGTTCAGAACTTGTTCCATCTTTTCTTACAATCTCAAGCACTTCTATCGTTGATGAGAACATGTGAGCCAAGCTGATTAAACAATTATAGTGAGAGTTCCATCGCGTGTCACTAGCCCGCTTAAGAGTAGTTTCTTTATTCAAACCTTGTCCACTTGAAAGCTCGTTATTTTCTAGTGCTTCCAAAACTACATGAGCATGTTTCTCTCTAAGAATATCACGACACTTAGAAGATGCCACCACAATATTCACCACAGAAGAAACCATAGTAAAGAGATCTCCAATTTCAGAATTTTTTTTTTGCCACTGCTACTAGAGCTAATTGAAGTTGATGAGCAAAACAATGAACATAAAAGGCAGACTCATTCTCATTTAAAACTAGTGCTTTAAGGCCATTGAACTCACCTTGCATATTACTTGCCCCATCATAGCCTTGCCCACGCAATTTTGATATGCTCAGTCCATGTCTAGAAAAGAAATCATCAATGGCTAACTTGAGTGAGGAAGCTTTAGTATCTGCAACATGCTCAATACCTACAAAGCGCTCTATCACATGACCCTTATCCACAAAGCGCAATACAATGGCCATTTGCTCATTTGAAGACTTGTCTCGTGATTCATCAACAAGAATGGAAAATAAAGAATCATTAATATCACTAGTGATTGCACTAATGATTTCATATGAAATAGCACTTGAGATGTCCTTCTGAATATCAGGTGATGTCAATTTCAAAATTCAGGAGCATTTTCTAGCGTGACAGCCTTTATACCCTCATTATAATGACGTAGCCACCGTAGAATTTCAAGAAAGTTTCCTTGGTTGAGTGAGTTTTCAGATTCATCATGCCCACGAAATGGAAGACCTTGTTGTAAGAGAATTTTACTAACCCCAACTGATGCACCTAATCGAGTTCGATAATCAATTCGATCTTGATCAGTTTGTTTTGTGATAACTGTTTCAATATGTTGCTTTTGGTTTAATAAGGCTTCACAGTTTCTCCAAGCATTATTATGAGAACTATTAGGTCCTCCAACATGAATTTCTAGTTTCTTCTTGCACTTCCAATTCTTGAATCCGACTCCAACAAAAGTATCCCCACCAGATTGATCTCCAATATCAGGTTTGAAGAGATAACAACATAAACAATAGGCAGCATCCTGTGATGTGCTATACTCCAACCAATTAGGAAATTGAGTAAACCAAGCAGGATTGAACCTTCTAGGCTTTGTCCCAAAATTTGTGTAGGGAAATGCATGGGTTTTTGGTTGACAAGGTTTATTTTGGAGATAGGCTCTTCGAACTTGGTCTCGAACATTAGGATGATAACTCAAAATCGGTGTACGCAATCCAGGATCATATTGGAGAGTTTCCGAGTTAATTTCCATAGAATCCACACAAGTTTGTTTTGAACTACTTTCATTGTTCTTTGGACTCTTTGGAGACGGTTCTAATATCTCAGGTTGTGTTTTTCTTTTGAAATATCTTTCCATAACTGAAAAGTAAAAAAACATAGATTGACTAACTTTAAATTAAAAGAAATATGAACATATATGCTAAATTTACAAACTAAAACAAATTAGGCAATAGTTAAGAGAAATTGCAAGACATCAATTTAATCATAATTTATAAACAAAAAATTGTAACAGGAATTGAGAGTAAAATACATACTTTGGGTTGTTGACCAATTAACTAAACTTCAAGTCTTCAATGTCTTTTTTTGATGGAATGATGGAATAATGGAATTCTTTAATCTGCAAAAAAAAATATATTATTTGTTAAATTAATTTATAATTGTAGATAACAACATATATGAATTAATTGAAAATAACAACTTTAGAGATTCGAAGTTCATACCTTTGAGGATCATGGAAATTGAATTATTGAAGACTGATAGACTGATAGAAGACTGTGACATGCTATAGATGAGAGAAGCAGCAAGGTTGTGTACTACAGGTAAAAAGTACACGATCAACGGCAAAGAACTGAAAGACAATGGTGCTTCATGCAGGGGCCTCTTTAAAGTTCATGTACTGTTCCTGACTATTTTTTTTCAGATTAGCAGCAGGCTGCAGTCGGCTAGGGCTAGAAATTAAAGAGTAAAAAAATACTAATTTTTAGTATTGGGTAAAGGAATGGAAGTGTTGGAAGTTGAAATAGATAGGTTTTAGGGTTAGACTAGATTACATAAATATGCTTAAAATATTTAAAGAAGGCCGGATATTTTGTCTAGAAAATTTGAATGGCTCAAGTGAAAGAGTCATAAAAAAGTGATTAAAATAATTAAAATAATAAGTAGTACTAATTTTTTTTTATAAACAAAAGCAGGATGGGCCTAGGACTACTGTGGTCCTATGGTTCCTCCGCCCCTGCTCATAAGTGGTTGGACCCTGAAAAGTGAAATTACATCACTTTGTTTATACAGCTATTTGAATCCATGTCAAATATATATATTCGATGACTACAGTGAATGTAGCCTTTTTTTAGGGTGATTAAATCTCGTATCATAAATCCTGAGCCCACCAAGAGTTGACCATACTAGTCTTTGTTGACCTTCAAGTTTTAAGCGTTAACATATAAGTAAGGCTAATTTCACTTTAATTGTATTGGATTTTGAGCTTAAGTGATTACGAGTATGCATTACTCCTATACTTGAAGTCGTAGCTCGCTCTCTTTATCGCGTGTGTTAATAAAAAAATATTTCACTACTCCTACAAAAACTACAATAACCTCTTGAAATATTTTTCTTGTTAATTTCCTTGTTTAATTATTATTTTTTTTTTTTTGAGAAACTGGATAATTCATAACCAAGGTAGAAGCCACAGGGGGAAACAGAGAGCCTAATGTAGGCTAACCAACAAACAAAGTAGAAAGAATGAGAAAAATAAGGGGAATAAAGAGAGACAAGGCAACAAGTCCTCAAATTCTTCAATAGTTACCCCCATATGACCTGGGTTAGGTGGCCCATTACCTATTCCTTGCTGTAGCCCCATTGAGAAGGGTCTGCCAGTGATGACTTGGTAAGCGTCATAATGACTTCTGATGCTAGCGCCGCCAACATATTGGGTTGTAGGAAAAAGGTTCCTTGTGTAGTGAGTCTTGGAATGCACTCCAACACCCCTGTAGAGTTATCATCCTTACTGCCAGACAGGCTACTATCCCACATGTGCCTTTGATCACTGCTTTCCAGGACCTCCCGCCCCATACGTTTCCTAGTTGCCCTCGTTGGCCACCGCTCATTGAGCAGGGCCGTCGTTGGGTGAGAAGTATCTGCCAAATTTTGAGGTTGCCTAGTTTTGGTCCATTTTCCATACCGCACCGCGGCGATTAGGTTGTTTTGCGCAATCAGTGTTAGAGTGCATAATTCTCCCACATCGATAGCAGAATTCCTAAAAGCGTTCATATTTGAACTCAATCCATGAGTTCACATCTCTCGCTCATGCTAGCCAGCATCCCATTACCAGAAGGTTTATGGTGTTAACCATAATCTTAATCTTTAGGAACCTCTTAGCATGTGCCAAATCTTTGACTTCCAGAACTTCCTCTACCTCTCTTACTAGATGCCTAACACCTGCCTTAGTATTGAGGTTTAACAGAACTTTTTTCATCTGGACCCAAAATGGAACTAGCTCCAATCTCACCTCTTTAAGGGCTAAGTCGTCTGGCCATTTTTTCACTAAGAAACACTAGTTCATGACTTTCAAAGGACTTGGTCAAAGATCTTGTTGGCTATCTCTTCATCCCTCACGATAATGATAAAGTTGTTATCTTGGACCCATTTCACCTTTATTTCTCCGAAATCATGCCAGGAACTGGGCAAGATGTTTCTCACCCCTCCCACTTGTTAAGAGGTTTGTCGTTCAGCTCGGCTCCAATTAATTTCACCCCTTATTCCATACTTGATAGGTCGAGAGATTCCTCTAGTCATACGATAAGGTTGTTCACATCTGGCTGAGACATATTGGGTTGAATGAAATATGAGAATATTTTGTTTTCATGCCACAGGATTTGTTCCGACCTTGTGAATACTTGTACCCTGTTGGTTTTGACGTTGTCCAGATGGTGAAATGTTTTGTACCCCCATAGAATCCAAACACAAAGAGCAGATCTAAGAAAAAGAAACCTCGATGACTTAAGAGAACAATTCGCAGTAGTTCGCCTAGGTTGATATGGGAAGTAAATGCTGGTTTGGTTAGCAATAACTGCACTGCTAAGAGATACTGTTTCCATTAGGGTAGACATCCCATCAGATAGTTGAAGGCTATCTTCTGCCATTACACCTCTATTAATGTTTTAGGCTTTGGTGAGAGAGAGATTCTACCTTCACAAATTCTTCAAGGTTTGGTGAGAGAGAGATTCTACTGTGAATGCTTCAAGGGTTGGTGAAAGGATGGTTGGTTAATAATAAAGCCAACAGAGGAATGGAAGAAAGACTCTCACCACGGAGAGAAGACCCTTCACAAGGAGGGATGACTCTCACCATAGAGAGAATTTATCACATGTATGCTTCCTTTTAGCTTTAAAAATTGACATGTAAAGTAAAATCCCTTCTTTAATTACTTATCTTGCCTATTTACCTCCTAAATGTTATAAACTTCTTGTTTAAGTGTGATTGTGTAAATCCTAGATTATATTTTATTCTAGTTATTGTTCCCTATTAGGACTTGTATTCCTTGGAGAAGAAGGATTTCTTATCTCTATTATTACTATACATAAAGGCACTGTGTAGGGGGAATAGCAACATCATCTACACAACCCTACAAACACATCTCTCTATATTTTCTCTCTATGTCGCCGGTCCCCTTCCCTTGTCAGTTAAATATAGGCCATAACACGTTATCAGCACACTTCTATCGTTGCACTTAGAAATCCGACGTGGAAGCTTTCTGCATCAAGCCAGTTCACCAATATCATCACGCAATCAGGTTCTTCCAAAACAACGATTTATATCTCGATATTTTTGCTGCCCTGATTGCATGAACATTCACCATAATGCATGACCCAACTTTACGTTTTTCGAATTTTAGATTCTACATAAATTATGTATGCATTATATCTATAATTGTCGAATTATGTGAATTGATATTGCCATGAATTGCATCAAATTATGTATCCATACATTAAATTATTTATATGAATACACATTGAATTAATCTGGAACTAAAAATAAAAAATAAAGAATTTTTAGGGTTTTGTTGAAAACCCATCCATGATGATGGGCTTCCTTCCCCGAGCCAATAACCCAAACTTGGAGCAACAACTCTAGGCCTAAACCCTAAAACTTGACGCCAAGATGACATCGCCCTTTGAACCATCATGGCACATGGCCTGCAGCCATGCCCAGCCATTATGGCTCCCTCCCCGACGACTTGAAGATTGTCCATCAACGTCAATTGGCTGAGATTCCTTCGAATCTCAGCGGATTTTTCGAAATCCCGATTTTAATTTCTAGGTTTTTTTGTTGAATCGTTGATATTTCCAAATCTCCATTCGTAACCATGGTAAAAAAACACCTAAAAAAGGTACCCCCGAGTTTCCCCGTCCAAGATTTAGCCACCTGCAGTGGCGGCACCGATCATTTTCTCCCGCGAAAACCCCTTAGCTCTGCTAGGACTTCTTGGTCTAAGCCCGAGCCCATTTTTTAGGGCTGGCATTGACTCGGGCTGAAAAAAAAAAAAAAAAAAAAAAAAAAAAAAAAAGAGAAAATTTGTTTTCTTTTAACTGGGCTTGCCTAAAGCGGCCTAACACCATCACCATGGCTCGGCCCAACACGTGATACTAGCCCGAGTGCTATGGTGTCCCACATGCACGCATTGCATCGGATCCCAGCCCCGTGTTGGTGCATCTGTGTTCCCGCATGCACGCGATCCTAGCTTGCAGCTGGTGCATCGGTGTACCTGCACCGCGCTGAATAATAACCATCAAGGATAAATAATATTTTGATTATTTATGGGAATCAATATATAACCTACCAAAAAAAAAAAACTCAATAATTATCACCACCTATTTAATATTAAAAAATTACCATTAAATGCCAAGGATTTATATTACTTTTTAATCTTAGACAATGTTTTATTAAAAAAGTAATCTTAGACAAGGATTAAAATAGAATTTTTTTTGATAATTATATATCATTTTAACAAGTTTAAAAGGACCATGCATTACCAATATACTTGAACACTTTAGCAAGAGATGATACGTATATAAAGGAGCAGCACATATACTATTCTGCATGGCCTATTCGATTAGTGATTGTTTAATGATTTGCTTGTTGGATAAATGTTCCAATTGGCGGCCACACTTGGGAAGGAAAAACAATAGAGTATTAATACTAGTTTTAAACATTTTTTTATTACAAACTTACATACGAAAAAAGAAAAAGAAAAAA